GTACCCTCGGCCCCGGTCGCCTCGCCCCGCTTCTTACACCCCCCAGACAGGCCTGAGGCGTCATGCTGTTCTGCGCTCTCTTTAATTACACCCCGAAACCGGGACGCGTGACGTATTGCCGTGTGGCGAAAGGGACAAAAAAGCGACCTCGATTTCAAGCTAGAATCATTGATCTATACCTCCGTCGTTAATCAATGCCTCGATCGGCGATACTTAATGTTTTCAGAATACATTTTGTGTGTACGAATATGAATTATCAAAAAATTTAACGACGAAGCCTTATTTCCTTAATTTTTATACACCTGACTCATAAGAAATTTTTCAAAATAAATTTGTAATAATTGCATCTCTCATAAAACAATTTAAAATCTCATTGTGTGTATTTACAGATAAAAATTTTTTTAAGTAATCTTAAATATTTTATCAAAAGTTTTACTTACCAAGGACTTGAATATGAGCATTTTTTTTTTTTTTTTTGAAAAGTTGTGTTCCAAATTTGTTGATTTGCTGAAATTTTAGAAGATAAACATGAAGGATTTATTGGAAGAAAGTAAAGTCCAGCGATGGGGAGGCTACTTAAAGTGTTGGCCTGGTCAGTGCTAAATATTTGATCAGAATTCGACTGGAATTGGTTTAAGATGTCAGCCGGTAAGCGAGGGTATGCTCATGGGACGAACGAAGAAAAAATAGGAAGGAAGGAGGAGAAAGCTCGACGAATGGACGGACAGTTAGTAGTTATACGACGGAGTATTCCCTCGAGCTGAACGGCAAAATGATGTCCAACCAAACAGCTCAGCTGTCTCGGTCACAGCATTCTTCTCTTACTATATCGACGGCCTGAATTCACTTTAAAATCCTCTCTGCCTCTCTCACTTACTCTCGCTCCCTCTTTTTTTCATTACGCTATAGAAAGCGAATAATAAAAGCATCTCGAAGCGATCCACAAATAAAGCCAATTTTGATGCCGTTAGTTTCAGACAAAATTTATAGAGGTGACGTAACTTAAGAGGGACACTATTTGCATCGTTAACAAAAAGTACGTTAATAGTAAAACATGCACCTAGACTCACAATTTTATTTAATGTATCGCAAGAATAAAGGAGAGCGGCGATAATTGTTGGACCATTAACTCTTAAATAAACTTGAATAGTTCTTATATTAACATAATATTTCAACATTTTGATTGTAATTCGACCGCGATAAGTCATATAATTTTCTTTAGTTATAACAATAAAGTCTGTACGCATTGCCGTTTTCATGCGCGAGTCGTTAGTAGCAGTGAGCGAGGGAGGCACAAAGGTCGAATCGCAAAATTCATGCGAATCCACGCGGTGCCAAGTGGGGTGCATTAGCCAAGTTCCCCATTATCCACGCGTGAGAGACCCCTAAATTATCCGGCGCTCGCCTAGCGCCGATCTCGCCCACCCTTGCACGTTAGCGAGAAAAAGACGTATGACTGCCTTTTCTCGGGAACACCCCCCGACAGGTTTCGGGGTGAAGTTACTAACGCGTGATTTTCGCAATTGCGAAGAAACTCGCTACATATCAATATATTTACGAGGAGAATGTTCAGATTGTCGTCATTTTTGTCAAGTCTTGTTCATTGCCTATAAATTTTCTTTTACAATTTACTTTTTCGATTACATCATTAATCACAGTTTTTTTGAACATGGCTGGAGACGCTACCGCGTCTCCTGATTGATATTGAGAGATGTTATGATACTTTCTGATTAAAATCCATCAATATCTTGGGCGTGTAGCCGATCTAATTCATTATATCTTCAGTATAACAGCTAAAAAATTGTAATTCGTCGATAGTTTGTCTAATTTGGATTTAAAAAGAATATCATGACGAAGGATACTGAGTAAAAAGTTAAAAAAAAGATCAAATAGAGAAGAAGTGGACAAGATTGAGGACAAGAAGAGAGAGAGAAAGAGAGAGAGGGAAGAGATTTGTATGTACGTATCTATATGAATAGAATAAGTAAGATCAAGAAGGGTGATTGAATAAGACAACGGCAGAAGACATCGAGACATAGAGAAGGAAGGAGAGAGTCAGAGGAAGAGACCAAGAGAGAGAAAGAGAAGATGAGAGACAGAATCCGAAGAACCGCCAGGAAGATAGAGAACACAAGTTTGGGCTATCTCTCCGAACACAGTTCCAAGGAGCTTCCTTTAGACTTTAGTGACGTGACGTCGCCTAATACCCTAATCCTTGCAATGGAGAGAAGCACCATCGTCCGCCTCGCGTCGTTATGTTGTTTAACCATCTTCTTATGACCGCACTACGGTTATAAATTATTAATTAATAAACGAGTATTTCTTTTAATTACTTGCATCTGTACCTTAAAAAATTTAGTAAATCTGGCTTGACGTATTGAGCAGTACAAACTATTGAAAGATTAAACTATGCTTAAAAATATTAAAAATTATCTACATCTGTGACACTACACAATATTTTAGTATAAATTAAAAAAATATTTAAACATCCACATTTATTGTTAAAAATTTTCTTTTATTTAAGCCTTTTACTTAGCCTTTTATTTAACTTGTGTAAATAAAATCAATTTTTTATGTATACAATAAAAAATATATGTCGCTGGTTTGATTTTATCTTTAATGTAATTTTTTACTATACTTTGTGACGTAATAAAGTTTTGGATTAAAACATAATGACGTAATAGGAATTTCTCAAAGCGCAAACAAGAGAACTTAAACATTGTATAACGTGACAAAATTAAAGAATATTCGATACCTTGTGATATATTAATGACGTTTACAGCAACGTCTGATGGAGATTTGGAAGGTGTCGACGATGTTTCCTTTTGCAAGAATTTAAACCATATCTGCCAGGCTGTTCACTCATACCAGGGTTACGCTTTCTAATTATTTGTGTTACAAAACCGTAAGGAACGACATATAATCGGTAGGTGAATCAATCCCTAACTCTAAGAGATTCTAGCTCTTTCTTGCATCGCGTTCTCTCCTTGCCCAGCTCGTTCTTGCACTATCGAAGGCCAGTTTCAAGAGAGCATTGGTCCGCAAAGAAAAGTGATAATGTCTTAAGCCGTCGGTGCGATTTAACTTCTGATTTTGGACGAGGGCACTCCCGCCGTCCTCCTACCGCGGTCCATAGCAAGAGTTCGTCGCTCTAAACTCCCGGCTACGTGGTCTGAGGAGGGTTTAAGGTTTAAGGGAAGCTCTCTCATTCCTTGGGATCCTAGGGAGCTCTGCTAAGCGCTGACGTTGATCCTGCTCTTCTTCTGCCTCCGCTACCTCCAGCAGCTCGGGTTTATCTAATTCCAGTTGTAGGTTCCTCCTATCTGTAAACCTTACGAGCGTACCAAAGGGCGAACGTTGTGCAGTTAAAGGCCTAAAGTCTTACAAGTCATCAGAAAGATTGGTAATTTGCTAATTTAAAATATAATTCGTAATTGTTAAGATACATTGCCGAGATACTTTTTAGATATCAAATTCAGACTGTATTTAATTGTAAAAGATGAGCAATTAATAATGCTTATTATTAGTTATATAATTTACAGCTTGAGAATTTTTACTGTCAAACAAGTTACTATAAATGTTCTATTTTTGATGAGTTTTTGAAAGATTTAATGCACGTGCGTTAATAATTGTTTGTATATTCGGAATTATGTACACTGTATTTTATTACAACACACATCGAATTCGTAATAACTTTCAAAGTCTGTTTCATTTCGCACTTATCATTTATCAGAAATTTTATACAGAGAAAAATATAAATTTTCTGTAAGCAAAGTTATTTCTATTTAAATCGGCAGAAATTTCACTTTTTCTTTGAAAATTTAGCTACGTAAAGAACTCGCGAATTGTGAAGTGAGCAGAGGTCGGAGCCAATGTCGCTTGGATTCCTAAGGTTGCAAAGAGAACTAGATAGCACATACATATCGTGGCGCGTCAACCCGAGGAACGGTGGAAGGGGATTAATATATATATATATATATATATACACACACATATATATATGTATGTACATGTAGACGCGAGTGGATATAAGCGGGAGAGGTGTACGAAGCACGTACCTCAACACACTGAGAAAGAGAGAGAATCCTCTAGGTGTGCACCCAGGAACCGCGTATCCCCTTCTATTCTACGATAATCGTGGCAGGGGTTGAGCGAGGGGGATGTGCAGAAGGGCTGGGAATCGCGCTCCAGCCGAGCTCAAGGGGGTGGACAGTGCGCAGAACCCGCCCCCACCTTTCGCGACGAAGCAGAAGCCGTCGACTGCCCGCGCAAGTCTTCATCCCCTCTGCCGACGACGGAAGATCGCCACCCCCGAACGAACTTAAACATAGCACAGTAGCTCGCGAGCACCCCGTCTGAAAGGGCTCATCGCGTATACGAGCCGGACTTGTGTTATATATATATATATATATATGTGTGTGTGTGTGTATGTATACAATATATATGTATATATAGTTATATATGTATATTGGCGGTTTGTCGAGCGCGCGTGTCTTTATTGTGTGCGTGCGCGCGTGCGTGTCACGCAGTGCTTGTCTAAATATCTCGAGTCCGCCGCAAGAACGAAGCAAGATAGAGTGTGCCCCACTAGAAAAAGATAAATATCACGAAAAGAGCCGAGCGATCGTTCACCAGGACAAAGAAAAAGAGAAAGGGAGAAATACGGATTCATCTCAGCTGCATAGAATGATTCTTCGAACCACGCACTCGACAATTTTTGGCAGATGTCAGGTGAACTCTCTTGAGAGACAATCCCTTAGACTTTGAACGCGCTGTTAAGTAAATGACGATGGGAAAAAAAAAGTGACCAGTGGCAGGCGCTGAGGATCCTTCCCTAACGAAAGAGCCTAAATCCTGAGCGAGATGGGTTACCTTTCTTGTTAGATTGCGCCGGCTTCGAAATCGACGATTTTGCACTCGTGTACCGAACGCACCCTTGCGTCTCTTGTGTCCGCATGGCAGAGCAGACTTGCTGATCCTCTGGAAATTTTGTGTTCCAGGGTGGAACTGACCAGCGTGCCGGGCGGACAGAATGCGATGGCTCATCTCAAAAAGCGGAAACTGGAAGCAGAGTCGGTCGCGCAGAATCCTAAACAAACGCAGCAGCCGTCGCAACAGTCGCAGCAGCAATTGTTGATCGGCAAGAAGGGCTTGCAGACGAGCACGTCGCAAGAGATGGAGATGTTGACCGATGCCGCAACGAAGCGGAGGAGGAAAAGCATTCGTGACGATGACATGCGAAAGACGATCGATGTCGTTGATCCTAACAAAAATATACCGTTGCCTCAGAAGAAGCGCGCATTTACAACGGGTAACTCGGGTAGTCCTGCCAGAAAATCGAGTAAGCATAGCGAAGAACCTGAAGACGATGAGACTCTCATAAGAGAAACGGAAGCCGCGTTGAAAAGTCTGTCAGGCAGCTGGCCAGGACCTAGAGGATCTCTATATCAAAGAGGCAATTCGGATGAGGATAGATACGAGTCTAATTTTGAAAATCTTTTCGAGGAAAAGAAAGAAAATCCTAAATTGTCGCCCTCATCAATATCAACATCTTCGACTACGAGTAATGACACCGGTTGTTCGTTGAAGGACGTAATAACTCTTCGCGGACAACAGGATCGATCGGGTAAGTTGCAACAGCAATTGAATAAGCAGCAGGATTCGAAACAACAGCATCCAACTAAAATTAAGAAAGATTTGGACAATTTATTGAAGATAGAAAACGAATGCGCAAACATTCAGTCTCAAGTCAACAACGTTAATCAAAACGAACCGCCGAAAATTAGACCAATTTCCGTTCGCTCGTTGTCAAGCAAAGAGAGGAACGAGAGGAACGTGGTAGGCGCACATATTGACCCTCAGGGAAGGCAATCGGACAAATATTCCAGATACGATCCACCGGACTTCAACGAATTAGTCGATGATTCGTCCAACGAACTAGAAATTGACATGTCGGATCCGGCCGCTGACAAGGATGAGGGCGATCGGGACAGATCGAATGACCGAGAACGGGATCGTACATGCAAAAACGGTCAATCACCTCAAAATATTAGCAGACAGCAGCAGCATCAACAGCTTTACACGAATTATCAAAGACAATATAACGATACCAATATGAAAGTCTCATCTACGGGAACTTCATCATCCTCATCGCCACCAACGAATCCTCCGTTTTCGGCAACATCTGCTTTCAGGCCGCCTAACACGGACCACTCAAAAGCATCGTGTCGTAGCTCTTCATCGGTCCCAGTAGCTTCTTCGACGATTCCACCAATCGGTCCGTATCCAGCTGCCGCCACATTCGTGGGATATCCGACGCCTGGACCGACGATGCCAACACCGCAACCTGTAGCCGGTATCTCGCCCACAGTCGATGACAAGCACTCACCCACAGTGTCACTCTTACAACTGAAATCCTCGAAGGAGGAGAGTCATCATGTGACAACCCACGACGTAGCCACCAATTCTGTATCTCCCAGCAAGAGTCCTACCAGCGGTCCACCTTCCGTTACGAGTCCCGATTCTTCAAAACAATATACAATCCTTCAGCCTGCGGGAGTGGGTTCCAGAGCAGCCAGTGCTATTCAGGATATCGCGAGGGAAGGAGTGGTGAGTGTTGCCGCTGTTAGCAGCTGCACCACCGCGAACAACGGTAGTGCGAGTAATGTCAACACCGCGAATGCAAACGGCAATGGAGTGGTTGGTAATAAAACTACCAACGGGAACAACGGCGCTAATGACAGCAACAGTACTACGAATCCTGCCGTGAATCCTAATGCAAACAGCATCACCAGCATAACCATTACAACCGTGTCAACGACCACTACAACGTCTAGTCCGACAGTCGCTGCTGATGTGCCTTCGGCGAACGGCCAGCAGGACAATGTCATGAAAATGCCAGAGAGACCCGGCACCTTCGATAGTGGCAGGCCGGGAATGTCTATGTCTCCGTCCAGTCTCGGCAGAGGTGAGAATTTCTTGTCTGTCGCATTGAAACAATATTTTCTTAAATATATTCCTAATATGATATTAATGGAACTAATACTGTTTCAGTTAATTATCATGATGGAATTACTTGTAGGCATTCCTTTGAATTATACATTCAAAAAATAAAAGGAAGTTTTGAATTAAGAAATAATAATAAATATATGTAAACGCGCGCGGGAGAAAATACATGTTATAGAAAATAGTATTATTAATGATGCTGAAATTTTTTTTCAGTCGAATAAAATATAACATATTATGTCCTAGAAAATATTGATATTTGAGTTGATATTAACATTGTCTGCAGTAACTCAATTTTTTATAAGTAAAATTTGAATCGAAAGAAATAAATTAAATAATAGAAAGATTTCTATCTTTGGTCCACAAACGATGCTTAATAATATTCATATACATGCAAATGCATCTTTTAGTTTTATATATATTATAGTTACTCAATTTTCGACTTTCTAAATACTATATTATTTCTTTGAAATGAAAGATATCCGATTATCCCGTTGGTCGATTGTGATATGGATAATTTTTGCTAAATTATACATGAAAGATCTCGTTACGACAATTTTTTCCTTGCATTCTACTATTATGTGTGTGTGTGCGTGCGCGCACCAGTATTCTTATAAAGAAAATATATACATTACGTACACAGAGGGAAGTCAATATAAATAACGCAGTTTCAAGATTGAGATGTACTGCACTTTAAAAAGATATCAAAAGATTAATGGTGTTTTGAAATTTACGCAGAGTTCAAATATGCGCATAAAAATTGGAACTGTTTAAATTATAAATGGAGATAGTAATCGTAAGTCGTGGTAGGGTTACCGCTCGTGTGTTATACGTTACGAAAGGGGACAAAAGGCATTTTCGACTCTCTTGGTTACGCTGATCCTCTCCCTTTCTCTCTTTCTCTCTATCTTTCTCTCTCGCTTTCTCTGTCTTGCTCTTTACGAAGTTAGGGGAGTTAGGGCAGCACGGAAAATCAATAATTACGAAGCGAGGGGTGATGACTCAAATGCTGAAATCAAGGTCTCTTCGAGCAAAATTATTCTCTGTGTGATACAGCCATTCCATACATGCTCTCATCGTTACTCTTTTATTCGTTTTTTATTATCTAAAATGTTTTGGATTTAAGGACATATATTTTAAATTAACAGAGAAGGACACAGAGAGAGAGAGAGAGAGAGAGAGAGAGAGAGAGAGAGAGAGAGAGAGAGAGAGAAAATACTCTCGGAAGTAATAGTGCTTTAATCGCACTTAATGTCTTTAATCATCAATAAATGAAATTGATTTGATTCAGTGATTAGACATGATAAGTGTAATACAGAGAAAATGATGAGCCGCGCAATCTTTCTTCCGAGAAGACTCAAAGAGTCAAACCTCACGCGTCATACTATACATTCGCCATAGTGTGGAGGTTCGAGTGCATTCCAGGGTCTTAGGGCAGCGAAGACACGACGTGTCTAGTCGGGGAAATTTGGGGTTGATACCACGTCATACGTATAAGCCGCAGCTGTCAGCGGCTGGAAACGTGACTAGCATCCCAGCCGCTCCAAGCCACCTTATTACCACCCTGTGCCTGGCTGCCTGTCCTCATTATCCCCTTAACATTTTCTCCGGCCGGTGGCTGCGAAGATGATCGCTTTCAAGAATTCAATCTCTCGCGTTTGATTTCACATCTTTCATGCGACGAACGCATGAAGAATTAATTGGATAAATAATCGCGATAATTTTAGAAAATAAAAAATACAAGTAATCTTCAAAATTTCAACTGTTTATAATGTTCATATAGAATTATATGTATATTAAGTTTATATATTGAAAAACTAAAATAGTTTGTTCATTGTGCAAAATCTCAAATAAAATTACGCGACGTGATAAATAGGCTCGATTAAGCGCGCACTTATCAGCGTGACGGCGATACAGCCATACCAGAGTCGGTCAAGTTAGGGTTTTAATCGAAAATCTCTATATCTTCCTTCTCTCTTTTTTTCGCTCTACGCTTTCCTCCTTCTCTCTCGCTGAGAGTTGCTCTTGATCTCTTCGATTTAGCGTGACGATCGCGTGCGCTGTTTTTTTTTATTTGCCGCACGCTCACATGCAGGCGCGTGTAAGGGCGTGTTGACACGCCATAAAACCGCTATCGGGAAATCCGTCAGCCGCAAAAACCACCCTTTCCGCGTCGAGAAAGACCAGCCGCGCGCGCGCGACGAGGTCGAGTCGGCTAATAAAAAAATAAACTGCCCTGTAACTCAATTTTACGCTGCCTTTGCGACCGCACGCATAAAAAGGACCTTTACTCGCGCGCGAGGGCTCTACCCTCCCTTTAAGGGCGCCGCGCGCCTCCGTGTGTAAATACCTACTTTGTGATTGTTCCTCGCGCTGTTCTCTTTTTTTAGAACCTCCGATCTTTTCCTTATCCAGTGTATCCGGCATGCGATTTAGCGCGGGAAAGTGTCGGAGGATTATTATACGCATCAGGTATCCCGGGTATCATCGTGCAATTTTATATCGACTCTATACTGGAGATTTCTATATAAAAATACTTACAATCTCTTGCGATTACATAGTATATCGTTGTATAGCTAACGCTCACATTGCGCATTGTGAAATGAGTATTTACTTTTGCCGTCTCAATTAAAATTTATTTCAAAATACATTGCAAAATATTCTGTCACAAACTCGTTTTTATACCAAGAAAGTGCTGTAATAGTAAGAGACGTATAGTCGCGTCCACTAATAGTATCTTACATTCGCAAGGACAGACGTGCGATTCATCTATTCTTCTTTGAAAATATGAAAAAGTTGTACCATGCAATTAACTACATATAAATAACAATGGTAAGACACATATTTTTAAATCATAATATTTTTAATGCATATTGAATATTATTCAAGCTATTCGTATATACAAGTATATCATATGTCGATAGTAAAATAAACTTTAATCGTATTAATTATGTCTTTACGCATCTCTTTTTATCTGGCAAAATATAGTAATTGATCACCGACGAAGCTAAAGTACTGAAAATACGAAAATTTCAAGCAAACGCGTACAAGTAAATTCAATTTATAGTATGAAATGTAGGCATTATTTATTATTAAACGTGCACTTTCGTTCTGGGGCTCGCGTGAATATTCATCCATTACACATGAATACTCAATTGCGCTGATTAACGACTTTTGACGGCGAATTAATAATTAGCGACCAGCGAGTGCTCAATTCTCCCCGATTATCTTGACGACGGCGATGATTTTTCGCGACGCCGAACGAAAGTCTCGGCGCGTGTCGCGCAAGCTGGACGAATAAAACAATCTCGGTGTTTATATACACGTCTACCCCTTCCGTGAACCCTTCACGTGAAATGGCTACAAAATAACACAATTACAACGCGACCACGGGCTCACCCTCGGTGACCGGCGTCCTCGTTCTCACCCCTTGTGATCCCGCTTTTTTCTCTCGTCCCTCCGATTCTCGTTGCTCCATTACAGCACCGTTGTAGGGAAAAAGAAACTAAAAGAGAGGGACCTGCGATAAAGGAAAGAGGAGGATAAGATCTAAAGGGAGACAAAGAGAGAAGAGATGATGAGAAAGAGCGAGAGAAGATAGGAGAAAGGTAGGAATGAAGGCAGGTCTGACCGACTCGTTACAAGTCTATTCAGACATCCGGAAAGAACAGCGCGTGCCGGTATTCATTTTGTTGACCGGAACCATTATCTGCCCCTTTATCTCTCTCTCTCTCTCTCTCTCTCTCTCTCTCTCTCTCTCTCTCTCTCTCTCTCTCTCTCACCTTTTCCTTTCAATCCCGTCGGTTTAGCCACCGACGTAGTCGCTTTAAAACCTTACGGCTAATTTATTAATCCTACGAGGGCAACCGTTCGCCCTCGGTTATCCGGTAAATCTTTTTTTACCCGGTACTAATTAAAAACCAGGAAGCTTCAGCGATCCTTCCTCGAAGTAAAAATAACTCCAATTTCCTCTATCACAAATTTAGATTTGTGACGCGTAAAGCTGCTGTGTTTTCGCGTTTTTCTCTACTGTGTATAGATCCATTTTTACTCGAAAGACACAATCGAGCATTCTTTGACTTTAATCTCTGAGAAACTCTGATTTCGAAACAAAATTAATCCACGGAGTTTCTTCTCAAGGAATTACGCGGGACTTGGAACAATTCCGACGGCATGTGCCGTTCAACTTCGGAACTCGTGGAGCGTCGTGGTCTGCAAATAAAGCATGCCGCTAATGACGTCACGTATCGTAATCCAATTTATGAGGAGGTGGGTGGATGTGCCGCCCGTCTTAAGAAAAAGGCGAACACCTAAGTAGGGATCGACTTTTCTTTCTCCATCCATCCTTCCCGTCGGTTCTCGCTCTCCTGAAACGCGAAATGACGATCTGATGAAGTTTCTCGGCGTCACGGCACTCGATTGGCCAGTCTCAACGTAGTTGGCTAAGGGATCAGGCCCGAGCGGAGGATTAGTACACGACAAAGTTTATAAAAGTGCGCTCACTTCAGGAGAACCCCCGTCAACTAACCTAAAGCTGGCCTCTCCTTAAAACGTTCCGTCGGAACCCTCTAACGTGCGTGATAAATCTCTATCTATGTTCTGTCGCGGCCACAATATATGGTACATACCTGTAATGATGTCTGGCATACAAATGATCTTGCTTTATAAATCGGTAGAAAGATTTCTAAATATTTATCATATATGTATAATCATAAATTTCTAAAAATCTATATTTACCATCGTAAACTATTGTTGATATTTATTTTTTGTGTTGCATCGTGTGTAAGTATTATTATTATTATTACCTTATATGATTATTATTAGCTTTCGGTTGTAACATAAGAAAATTAAAAGTACAATACTTGATGTAAAATGTCTTATTAAAAGCTTTGTGGAAATAATGGGTTTAATGATTACGAGCAAATTGTTATTAAATGGATGTCTCTTATGGAAGCTTGAAGCTATAGCATGTGAATGGAACATAGTAGTGCCTGATATAACTTTCAGCCAGTGAAAGATGATTACACTGTCTAACGATTAGATAGGAACCTTTAGTTACATTTATCGTTCACGATTGAAATAAAGAGAACCTTGCCGAAGGGTCTCATATTAACCGATTGGTACTTCTCGGCTACCTGCAGTGCACTAGAAACCCGTAATTGTTTGGTCACGCGAGGCCGCCTCGGGAATACGAACGCGATCATACGTGACGTGCACTATACCCACCATTAAGTTAGAACTAGCGCACGACAGATGGTACAATTGGGCATGCCCGTCTGGCATCGGTCATACTTTCGTGTCGCAAGAAAGGACTCGAAAAAAGCTCTCGAAAAAATTTAGAAATTATCGAAGCGAATTAGCAGCTAATGCAGATCTCTAATGGTAAGAATTGTGTGTCTTTAAATAAACTCTGACGAAAAGCGTCATGTCGTGAATGTCTCTCTGTGACAACTCACTCACAAATATATCGAAATATTCGCAATTTACGAGCAAAAATCCACGAACCATTATCAAGAATGAGGTTTTCTCCTTACTCAGTCGAATGATACTGACGAATGATATAGAAAATAATGCATAGATAGGAGGAACGAAATATCACATGGCGAAACTTTTTCCCCGATCTCTGCAAGTTTCGTTCTGTCACGCGGGAATGAGGTATCTATCTGTTCTTTGTTTCGCGGACAGTTGTAGGCCGGCCACATACCCCGTGCTAATCCCGAAGGCTTAGTCACGGAACAGAGAAATCCCAGAGGCTATTCACAAATGCGTAACTCGTGCGACGAGATCCAAGCTGACCACACGCGAGGCCATTTCCACCCTTCTGGACCGTCCTTTCAACTTTCACTTGGGGCCTCTCGCCACAGAATTAGGGAAACTCATCCTGAAAAATACTACTAAATAGTATGCGCACACCCGACAAAGCCGTACAAAAATTTTTTTGAAAACTCTTTCCAAAATAAATCTCTAAAAACTCCTGTAGACAGAGAAATTAAGAACATATAATATATTTATTATAAAAATTGTTATTACGAAACGTAAAAAATCATACACAAGCAACATTTTTACATTTTGAATTTACAATATATTCAAAAAATGTTTTTATATTTATTTTTAAACATTTATTTACTTTGTAATCAATAATCATAAAAAATAAAACATAATTAAACATCATAAAAATGCGAAAGTTTTTAGAATTTATAGGTACGTTAATCATAAATTTTTTTATATTATACACATATATATCAAATCTTGACGAAGCGATTTGAACGTATGAATTAATTATTTTAAACATTATTGCACAAAATATATAATGAAAATGATATATTATATCAATATTTAGTTTTGCTTATTGCATTTATAAAATAATAATTATATACTTTACTTTAATAGAAATAATTTTAATTGAGGGACGAAATTTTTACAAATAAGATTTTAGACATGTGTCTCTCGCCGTACTTGCTCGCAGTTTTATTCTACGTTCTCTATGAAGGATAATACGTGATATATTGGCAAACGGAGAGTAAGCTATATTCTGGTTCGATGTGCAGAATGAAACTACGCGACGATGTCGGACACGTCGGCTGTCAACCATTCAATAGTTAATTTCCATTCAACTGCTCGCGTCGCTAGCGGTACCCTGCAAGCATACCGAAATACCATATTATTTTGCACATACTTGTTCGCACATTTTTTATCACGCGTTTTCATGCTTATGCGATATAGTGGTTAATCAATATCTCTTTGGATATTATACACAGCTCTATTAATGATAAATTATTTTTTTTTTTAATAAAAAATGTTTCTTTTTACGATATAATGTTCTTGATATTTAGAAAACACAAAAGACGTTTTATAAATACAGTGGTATAAAGTTTCTTATCTAAAACAAAAGTTCTTTATTTACTCTGTAAGCTTTTACATTACGATAATGTTCCCACTTAAAATATACGCGCATTCAGGCAATGAAAAAAAGCAAATTGCATACATCAATTGGCCTCAAGTGCAAGATTATGAAACCAAATGTAACAACAAAGCATTAATGCGTATTAAGCCGACGCCGTATTCCGGTCGACACGTTCCTGCCGCGGAACAACACTCATCGACAGTGTAAATATCCAATTTATTCAGAATTACTGTCCGCTTGTGTCGGGATCATCAATTTCGATACAGAATAATACGTTGCAGAGACAGCGTAATGCCGAGCATTCGGTATTATTGTATAATTATATATAGAGTTAATATCAAAATATAACTCTGAGATACATTTATCCTATCACTGCACATTCTAAATTTCTTAATATTTGATTAAAAATTCATTACATCTCTATCTGCGTCAATTAGCGATTATTAGTCAATTAGAGATGTAATAATAGAGTGTGTTCACATAAACATTCTCTATTTTCTATATGGATATATATATAATATGTTGTTTAGAGATTTTATTGCATCCCCTGAAGAAAAGTGAAACAGATAAAAAATACAAAATTGTTAAGAAAAGAGAAAAAAAAATTCAATTTTAAAATTAATGATTTGTTGCAATATTAAATATAAGTTAATAACTAGAGCTAATCACAAATTGTTTGTTTCAAGTTTTAAGCCTAGAAGTAATGTAATATTAACTTTGTTATAGAGTTACATTAGACTTCTAAAACTATATCCCTATTTTAATTTGTATTATTTTTATTATGTTCAATTCTTTTTTATTTTCTATTGAATTCAATTCTTGTATTACCTGATTGAAAGCTGAAATATTTAGAACACAGTCCTTACATAACACAAAATTAAAAAAATTTTGACTAGTATTTTCTTATAGAATGTGTTATAATTAATTATAGTAAGTTAATATATAAATTGTGTGACATTGATATCTTTCAAGGAGACAGTAACTAACAATAAGTAATATACCTTGCGTACTTTTATGTGTTAAAAATTTAATTAGCTTAAGCCTAGATCGGAGTGAGCTTTATATAGAGCTACCGTATAAGCTTAATCGCTATATGCACGGCTAAAAACTAGTGTACAACGTATCTCATGAATATCTGAAATGGCATTTAATAGACTAACATCGGGCTCTGCGTGGCGATTTGATTTGTTACAGAGGGCAACAAGTGCCCGACCCCAGGCTGCACGGGGCAGGGTCACGTGACCGGACTCTACTCTCACCACCGCAGGTAAGCAATTATCGGTAATTAACCTGCGCTCCGCACTCAGCCACGGCCGATTACACACCTACGCGGTTTTACGTGGAGAATCGAGCGAGGTGTTATATAGAAACAGACATCAATAAACCAATTCGCGTTAAACTCAGTAAATTCTTTGTATTGCCGAAACAATACGTAAATATGACGTATATTGCGTCGCGAATATACAAGAAAAAAAATGAAAACTCAAAGAAGTTTTTCTTAATTTTAATACGTGCTACTCATATATCTCTTAAGAGAAAAGTTGGATATACTTAAAACCTTAAATCCTATTAATCTTAAACATTTTTAAACAGTCTTTCCACTTACAGCCTTTCTGGATGTCCACAGAAGGATAAATTAACTCCAGAGAGTAAGTACTCTTCTATTAAACTAATTACTTCTTATTGTAGCTAGATAGTGCATCTTCTGTTTGCGAGAGTGTCTTTTTCTTAACGAAGTGAGAAAGTGAAGAGTGAATCATTGTTGTGGGTTATTTAAATCTCAAAGGAGTTTCGTAATTAGTCAACCTTATCAATGTATAAATAAATAATATAATTTAAATTCGAAAATTTTAAAATCTGATCATATTCTGTATGACAATAAATATCTATATTTTTCGCAAATATCATACACATTATTCAAATAATGTTTATTTTTGGGATGCAATTGGAATGTTCTATCTCTAATTTGGTCCGCTTTTTCTCCAGAACTATTTTTGCCGATCAGTCTCGTCATCCACAAAAGGCTATTGTTCGATCTCTACGGTTTCTCGCTTCATTAAACGCAACAAAAATTATATCTTCTATACACAAAGTCAAATTAGAAAGAGAAAATGGATATTTTTCAGCAATGTGCGCGGTGCACGCGTTGCGTGTGTGCGTTGCGTGTGCGTGTATGTCTGTCTGTTGTATATTCTTTGCGCTTTTCCTTTGCGGGGTAGAGAGCTTTATTTATTGCGTTCCTTTTCGTTTTTTTATTTATTGTTCTATTCGTAGTTCTCATTATATAGTAGAGAATTATATCACCACACTCTCGAACTTGGTTGATACTGGTCGTGCCTAAGAACCCTCTGGAGAACTAGAGACACGGGCGGCGCGATGGGCCCGGCGTATGTGCACACGCCGGACATTTCACACACGGAGGACACTTGTGCGATTGAGTATAATTACGCAAAGAATTATACGAATCATCCAGCTTCCATCGACGTACCTACGAGTTTCCGCAACAACAGATTTCGCCCCCTCTCTGTTAAATGATAAATTGAGCCGTCGCGCACAAAACGCGACTACGTGTAATGTAAATCTGCACACAATCACATAAGTTTTTATTTCTACTTGTGACAAGCTCGCCTTCTCGATCTCCTTCGTCAAGAACGCAGATATTTCCCAAGATATCTTGAATCCGAGCGTTATTTGCGTATTTGTTCGCTCGCTCGCTCGCGGACAAATGTCATTCTCATCGACGTAGCACACTACCTCACATATATTGCAAGTGTTGTGTTATAATTTTCTATCGATTGATTGTCTTTACTTGTGTTTCTCTCTACCCGCTCGGTATACTTAATTGTATTGTTAATTTGCGTTCCACATACGGTGTGACGCCATGTATTCCGCCTTTGGTTCATTTTCCGACTATTTTATTGTTTTTTCGTTTTCTCCAATTGGTTTATAACCAATAACGTGTACCAAACATGCGGATTTCACTTTCTTTCTCTCTTCTATTCGGGTCCGTTTCGCAAATCGAAGATGACACATTTATCGCGTTCAGGACTGTCTCTCCCTTTCTCGTGCCTTCTCGGTGCCCAACGCAAATAATTATACTCAATGCATAAAGACAGCTCGCCTTAACGACATCTTATTCCCGCGTGCGTGTGCGCCGCGTCTCTCTCTCTCTCTCTTTCTCTCTTTCTCTCTCTCTCTCTCTCTCTCTCTCTAATTGTGTGTACGCGCGTGTGTACGACGTGCCAAGAACGTGTGTCTGTAACAACGCCACGTGTCTCTGGGTTCTCGCAGTTCTGGCGATGCATGAGACCATATTGAAATGCCCAACGCCTGGTTGCAACGGCCGCGGTCATGTCAGCTCCAATCGGAACACACATAGGAGCCTATCCGGATGTCCCATTGCCGCGGCTAATAAGCAAGCCGCACGCGAAGCACGACAAAAGGCTCAAGGTAAGATGGTATGTGCAGGACTCTTTCTTGTGCGTGTCCGCAATACCCCGGTCACGAAAATCCTACTGCTGTTTCACGCGACGAGATTAACGCATAAATGTTAAGAACAAGATGAGGCTTATATTTCTTTCGCACTTTATTGCGTTTGCGCGTGTCTTGATTGCATGCTTTCACTGCAATAAAATTGTGACGATAAACCTATTTCGAAGTTTTCGTACGGATTTATACACTTGCATTCACTGGCAGAAGTGTAGAGAATTCTAACACAAATTTTATGTATCAAGGACGAATGAGAGTAAATAATCACCGCTGTTATAAATGCGTAATAATATTTTAATTTTAAGGTTACAGAACCAATCCAACTTCCGGACGTTTCGACTGACTTCCAGTCATCTTCAGCATACAGCAAAATTAATTAAAACGCAATGGTCATAATCAAAAAATCCTCCGCTCGGTCAAGAATATGAAAGTCCACCCAATTTTTCAATGGCCGTTGAAATAGTGTGATAATCATTATCTCAAATGAAAATTCAAGTCCCAACCGAGCACAAAAACTTTAGATTAAATCTTAAATAACCGATCAAATTTCGAAGTCGTGTAAGAACATACAATTCACAACATAAACGGTCAACAGAGTAATTACTCTGTTGACCGTTTATGTTGTGAATTGTATGTTCTTACACGACTTCGAAATTTGATCGGTTATTTAAGATTTAATCTAAAGTTTTTGTGCTCGGTTGGGACTTGAATTTTCATTTGAGATAATGATTATCACACTATTTCAACGGCCATTGAAAAATTGGGTGGACTTTCATATTCTTGACCGAGCGGAGGATTTTTTGATTATGACCATTGCGTTTTAATTAATTTTGCTGTATGCTGAAGATGACTGGAAGTCAGTCGAAACGTCCGGAAGTTGGATTGGTTCTGTAACCTTAAAATTAAAATATTATTACGCATTTATAACAGCGGTGATTATTTACTCTCATTCGTCCTTGATACATAAAATTTGTGTTAGAATTTCGAGAGTCCATTTAAATTGTTAGTAGAGAATTATGTATTGCATATTGATAGTAAAATATCGTTGATAGTTTTGAAACAATTTTATAATTGTTTTCATTTTTTTTAGATTTGTATTTTTTAATTTTTACGTCGATTCTAATTCGACTCAGACACTAATATACCAGGCATCGATGATCTAGTTGCACATAGGCACATGCGCGCGTGCGCGCGCGCACGCGCACACACACACACACACACACACACACAGAGTATATATGTAACAATTTCAAAAATTTTATATATGTATAATCTTTATATAATATATACGTAAACTAATCATTTTATAGATATTATATGTATAAAGATATGTATAGATATAATATAAGCAATTGATAACTTTCAGCCAATATACCAAAAAAACCTTTAAGAGCCAGTGCAAGGTATTAATGCAAAAACAACTTATTCTTTATAATCCATAAATTTAATTATAACGTTTTCGTCCCATGGTTGGAGTCTTCTTCAATATTTAATGTTTTTACGAAGACTGCCGGCTTATGCGTATAATATACAAAATTATTCTCAAAATTGTTCATCGTCAGATAATATAACGATTGACATCCATCCATCACCACACAATATATACATATATGTTTATTAAATTACCTGATTTATTAAAAATATATATATCAAAGATATAACTAAAGCACATGGATTTTAATTTACGAATTAACACTTACATAGCAATCACAGACAGCCGTGTCTTGAACTTACTCGAGTTATAAAATTAGATAACTAGACAATAAACACGTAATAAATACTGATGGACTACTGATGGAAAGAGGGGGAAGCATCACATCTTGGAAAACAAACTAAGATATGAGGAATCTAAATGTTCTGTGTCATTTTGTCGATTTAAACCATTTTTCTGCTTATGTATGTAAATTATTTCAGAAATAAGTCGTTTGTTTAAAAAATTTTCATTTATCCATAATTTTTATGTTCTCCCAATCAAATTCATGTACCATTTCTTGTTTATGCTTCATAACTGTTGTATTGGATGTTCGTCTGATTCACGCAATCCTTGCAATCAACATGATATACAATCTTCCATAGCAATCGCCGTCTACGATTGATGTAAGTGCTAACTCGAAAATGGACACGATCACACAATGTCAATCATTACATTATCTGACGACAAACGATTTTAAGAATAATTTTATACATACACAAGCTGGACAATCTTTGTCAAAGCGTTAAATACTGAAGAGGATCCCAACCATGGGTCAACGAAAATTGTTATAATTAAATTACTTCATTATAAAGAATAAATTATTTTTGCATTAATACCAAAAGCACTGGCTTTTAAAGGCTTCCTTCTGTATATTGATCTACTTTATTAGAGCCTATATATATGTATAATAGTTTTTGTTTTAGGTAATATTCACAGATTATAGAATGTTATACGCTACATATGTATATCATTTAGAACAAAAACTTATTAAGCTTTGATCTACATACTGTTTGAAACCACTTATTAACGAGCGTTATAGTTCTTGTTATAATTAATAAAAAATAAAAATTTATAAACATTTTTTACTACGATGATATTTTTTATTGTACGGAATTTCTTAATTCACGCATTTCGTTATATCTTTCGGTAAAATTTACTAAATACACAATCTTCTCTATAGTGCCGGGTATACCACCAGAATACATCAGCACAAATCTGTTACCCCCTTCAATGGACGCAAAGAGTTATTCGCAGTACGGTTCTGCAACGCAAGACACGAAACCCATACTAAGTAGCTTGACCTACGATTACTATTCGTCAAAAAACGCTGGGATTAATGTGAAACCCCCGAAAACGCCGGAGGACAACAACACGTCGCGTCCCGCGAAAGTGCCCAAGACGGAGAATATGACTCTTAGCAGTAGTTGCTGTAACACATTATCTATGAGGAATCAAAATACGGGCGAGTTATTGGTCCCTAAAACGGAGGATGCTGCGTCTTGCAGAGTGAATTCGCCTCCGCCACCACCGCCTCCTGCAGTACGACAAACGTACGATTCTTACATGAGCCAAGATTCGAATTCCTCATCCATGTCATCCATGGACGCGATGGGTTCGAGGCCATCTATAGGAGCGACAATTCATCATCCCAGCCAGCATCCGACACATCACGTGCTGCCAATGCAGCCTGTTGCCTATCCGATGCCGATGGTGGAAGATACCAGGATGAGTCATCAAATGTCTCAAAGATCTCCCTACGAGCCTAGTGCCATGATGGCCGCGGCAGCGGCTGCGGCAGCAGCCGCAACCACTACGGAAGAGCTTTATCATCATAGATCGGCCGAACACGCAAGAGCGTACATGCATCCTGGTGCTAGCAACATTGCACGACCAGTAGTGACGTATTCCAACGACATAGCTGGCAGAGGCTACGAGAACGCGGTAGTCAGTGCAGCCAATCATCGACCGTATGATCCCGGTACCACTGCGACATACGAGAGATACGATACGCAGTCTTGCACATCTATCCCGTCTCAGCAACAGCAGCAGCAGCAACAGCAGCAACAACAACAGCAACAGCAACAACAACAGCAGCAGCAGCAACAGCAGCAGCAGCAGCAGCAACTACATTCAAGGGCAAATATGTACTATCTAGGACAAACCGGCATGACGCAAGAAGAGCAAGAGCGAGTCTATCATCAAGAAGCTGCTGCAGCTGCTCAACAACATCAAATGGCGATGGCCGCTGCCACGGCAGCTGGAATGATAAAGACTGAAGATGGTAATTTTGCAAGATTGTCTTTGCAAAGGTATAAAAAACTTATTTGTATAACTAAACGTTGCGTCTCCGTAAATGTTGCAGTGAAATGCGTTACGGTCGCGCAAATGCAGCAAATGCAGAAACCCGGTGGACCGCCTACCTCGCCCGGGGGATCAGTGATGGATTTGTCTACCTCCAGTGTTACGTCCACTAGCCCGCAGGTTAGTTAGAAATAATACGATGAGTACAAAAAGTATTATGAGATCTTCATACTCAACAATGAGGCGATTTACAGGCACCACCCTACGGTTCAAACAGCCTCAGTCCACAATATGGAGGAGGACAGACGGTGGGAAGTAGTCCTCAGGCTGCAGCAAGTCCCCACTTAACGGCTAGTCCTCAAGTTCCTAGTCCTCAAGGTCAGACTCTCGATCTTAGCGTCAATAGACTCCACAGGTACCTGTTAATTTCCATATTTATAGTTATTAACAAATACTAAGTATAAAATCTGAGACACGATTAAAAACTACAGACAATAGGAACAGAGAATGAAAGATTTCGACTTATCATGTATTCTGATACATACAGTTTCTAATAAGTTGAAATCTGTTTATTCTCTGCTCCTATTGCTTGTGCTTTTTAATTGTGTCTTAGGATTAAGAGCTTAAAATCTTAGCTTGAGTAATATTTTTTTTAAGAGCTTGCTGATATTAAAAAATAAAAATTATTTTAATAGAGGATTTAGAGATTAGACAGAATATATACTACTAAATACAATAGAAACTTATAATAAAAGACCATTGTAAGTACTTAAGACGGTTAGATGAAGAAGGTACATATTTATCTCTATTGCAGCGGTGCACCTAGTCCGCAATATTCTACCGGCCATGGAGAAGCCGTCGCGGTTGCAGTGGGTCCGGGTTTTCCAGCCCCACGACCGATCGAAGAGCAAACGGAGCCCGTGGATTTTTCAACGGCGAATGAGCCGGTCAATTTCAGTGGGGGTCCAGGGATCAGGCCTGTACCCGGATTTCCGCCGCCTGGAGTGCACGTCACGGCATATAGTCGCGAGAGCACACCCGACAGCGGGGGTTCCCACTACATGGACGCCTACCGAGATCCCACCGGTGAGTTATCATTTATCGCATAACTTTGTGGACAATTTATGATTCAAAGACGTTTTTTGGCTTTATTCAATGATCACATATAATAATATGGTTATACAAAATTATAATTTATAATGTAAAGTTATAAAATTTATTAACTCGTAAAGCTTGTTTGTAAAAAATATTTTTTAATAATTTTCTGAAGTAATTAAACGGTCATGTATGTATTATGATATTTTTTGTTTCTTGAATATAGAAGCTTTTCTTTGCATAATATCTCGAAAAGATCAAGCAACATTATCTACTCATTGGAATACTTGTAACAATTATATATAAAAATTATTTAAAGATCAAGTGGTTGAGTTCAAAATAAAAATAAGAAGAAGGAGCATATACCACACGCTGGTTAAAAGTAGCGAAATTCTCGTATATTTAATACAACTAAAATTACATAATTATAAACGTTTCGATCATTAATGTGACCATCTTCAGTATATAAAGAAAACTTATAATTTAATTCCCCTAATATATTTTAAATAAAACTAAATGCTGGGGCACAACTTATCACATGAATATCTTATAATTATATATAATCAATATCAAATCTCATAGGACCGTACATGTGAGAACACAACCAATAAGAATTAGATATTAAATGCCTATAACAGTCGAAGTTAGATCTTTGTTACTTTAATAATTCAATGTGAATTATATATGTAATATGTATATACTATATTTATAGTTTTATCGAATTACGCGCCGAAATTTTTCCCGGACTTACAAACGCAGCTAAACTACATGAAATAATGTCACAATTAAATTTTGATACTCAATATGCATCTATTAAAGAGATCTTTATATAACGGAAAACTGTAAATAAATTTATAAATTTATTTATTGCAAAAATATTATCTAATACAAATATATCATAATAACGTTACTGTTTTACTATGCAACAACGTTGAATCATAATTCACTACGAAAATTTGGTGACGAGAATCGTTTGTACGATAATGTCAAATGAAGATGAGATAGAGCGAAAAAAGAAACAGACATGGAGAAGGACGCGACAAGGTGTCCTAACACTATAAATTTTAACTGCTGTGCGTGTGTGTGTACACACATACACACGCGCGGTACAGGAGATACACGCGAAACGTTAATGTATCCTTACACAGGCGTGTAACGTCAGGTGATAGCGGGGGAGACGCGGAGGAGGCGCGTGGACGAGGGATTCGGAAGAGAACAAAGAGCCCGACGCCCCCGGGGGTCGGCAAGGGTGGCGAGGGACGTAGATAGGGATGGGGGACGATACGCGGTTACAACCGTCGAATAAAAATTCACCAGAACAGTACATGACTGCCATAATAGGCACCTATGGCCGAACTCTCATTTTCCTCGGTCTCTCTGTACCTTGGCATTCCAAACCCGCGGCTGATTCTCCCCTTTCTCATCCCTTCCTTCTTCTCTCTCTCTCTCTCTCTCTCTCTCTCTCTCTCTTCCCCCCCCCCCCTCTCTCTCTCTCTCTCTCTTTTTCTCTTTCCCTTCGTCCTTCGGCCTGAATGTGCACCATGCGCACCCTTCCCGTCGAACCACCCCCCTGTGACGGTACACGGCCATTGTTAATTATCAATATTTCGCGTACACGTAGCGCCGGCAAAAGTCCGGCGCGGCCGATATTGTGCGGACTCTGACGCTGGGGAGTAGTTATTGAAATTGAAACATTCGAGCACACACAGCGCCGTGTTCCCCGGCCTCGACGCACACAGGGCACGGCCGTGTTCACGCGACGTCGCGCGAGCGCGCACAGTCGGCCTTCCGTCCGTCGGCTATTTGCATTGCGTGCTCTCTCGACAAAATGAATTCTTGCCAGTAAATAAACGTGTAGATTTTACAACAGTTAATCAAGCAGCGGGCTGCTCCTGTAGTGCGCCTGTGTTCGCGCTACTTCCGCGTCTCCCGTTCGAGTACGATTACATGGCACGTATATGTACGTATTTAGGCGGAGTGTTCTAGAAATCATGTATTTTTCTATGTATCATAAAGATCAAATTCCATCATACTAACTCGCTTGGTATTAACATCTTAGTAGAGATGTATCAATTTGTGAATTGTTTGTAACTATAGAGAATTAATGGATTTTCTAACAGAGTAAATGTTGAAAACAGAAATGGATAAAGGAAATAACAAGATCTCAATACGTTTCAAATTGTCAATACTTCATTATAAATTTATCTTAATATTTTATTATTAAAGTATCCAATATCGAAGAAATTGAAAAGCATGTTATTAAGACTTTTTATTGATTAAGTAAGATGCTTTCTGCGTGTTTCGCGCGCCGTGTCAACATATTTTTACTTTCAGGGAACTGTTACATTTTTTATTTATACAATCTCTCATATGTATGTCAGGTTATGGACCCATGAGTCCTCATCCAGGGTACGGGATGACCGGCGTTCAACCTGAATATCCCGGAAACACGTACACCCCTTACCCAACTGCAGGTTATAACTGCGGTGGAACTTACCCAGGTGGTCCAGTGACTTCCGGTTATCAGATTCCAGCGGGTTACACCCCGGCACCATGTTACAGCATGCCGCCCCCGCAGCATACGGTTGGACCTCTCGATAAACCATCCGGCAAGGACGATAGGTAGGATATCTCTTTTGTCCCTTTTGAATGGAGTATCGCGAATGTGAGCAATCCGGTTCACAGCAAACTTTAATTTGTGTACTGTAAATATGAGTTTATGTCCGTCGGTGAAATAGGAATCGTTATTTTAAACTAAACGTTTGAGAGAATAACATTTTATTTGAAGACATTTAAATACTTTTAACAGTATTTGATTAAGAGAGACAGAGAGAGAGAATACATTTATTAAATCTATCAGATTGGCCGATATATTCATTGGGTATTTAGCATTTCACACTTTTTTTAATTTGAAATTTGTTTTTTCACTGTATTCAACATACATTTTGATGAAATTTAAAATTAAATAGTCATCCATTTGTAACGGTATAGATATGCGATAAGAATCCAAATCGTTATTTTGCGTGAGGTAGTACTATTAGAGAATACGTCCACACGTCGTGCAGGCGAGCATCGTGAGTTCTCGCCTTGGTTCTTACTTGCCTTGCGGAAAGGATCGCACGAATCCTTCACGCGATAGATTCGTGGCCGAAGCTTGAAAAGGCGTGGAGACAGTGGCGGCGACGGCGGCGGCAGCGGCGGCGGCGACTAGCATCAGCGACGGAGGGCGAGAGGAAAAGGGGGCAAAACTCGCGCATACCCACCTCCATTTTGTTAATTAAAGTAATTACTCTTCGTACCGAAAGTGCCAACCTTATTCTAATTGACGTGAAGCTCGGCGGTATGGAGAAGGCACGGTTGGGCGTATAAGAAGAGAATGAGGATGAGGCTCGAGTGGAAGGCGCGCGTGCGGGGAGAAAAGGGGTTGAGAGAGTGCGGAGGCGAGGTAGGATAAGGTTAAAATGGGTAGGTGGGGTATAATCAGTTGCCACCGCACTGGATTATGGGCCGAGATCCGGCGTCGTCCTCCCCGCCGTGGGTTAGAAACCCAGAGCACACTTCCTCGGCTATCTCGAGGCGAGGTGGCCTTTCGTCCCTTTTGTAATTTTACCACGGTCCAAAATTCGATGCTTCGCGTTCCACGAATCTCACGAATGGCTCCGCGACAGACGAAAATGTGAACATCGAATTTGTATTCTATCGGAAGTTTGAAATGACAATATTGACAGTATCCAATACTTATACTCGTATTTGTGCAAAAATATAATCGTGAATGTACAATATTGAATAAAGATAAATATTATATCGACAAATCTTTACATATAAAACAGTAAATAACAAAGTTTAAAATAATTTAAATTTTAAAAAGAGAGAGATTAATGATTTTAATTTTTAATATTGTTAGTATATTTTATATTTTAAATTCTCTCATTTAAAAAATTGAAAATATTTAATAATTTTATGTTCAAAATTACAAAGAGAGGGAGAGAGAGTGTTATCTTATCTATTTTATTATATACTTGTAATGTTTATTAAATGTTTAATCAATGATAATAGTGAGCACATTTGGTAAATTATATCTTTTTATTACATAAACTTTATTTGAGAAATGTATAAAATGAAAAATATGTTCAATTATTTCTCACAATGTTAATCTTTCCACGTTTCTCCTTCTCCTCATTAATTGTATCTTTATTGAATCGCTATAACGTGGAACATGTACGGCTAACTAAAATCTCGAGGGGTCAAACCAATCTATATCAGAACTTCAACTTTATTAATACCAGCAGGCAATATAACTACCTTCGCTTCCTAACTATGTTATTAGTCTCTTCTCTTGAAAACGTTTTTATTAGTATATACGTCCCAATTTGGATGAATCACTTAAATTTGTAAAAATATCAAAAATACATAAGATTTCGATATATTGTAAAAATAAATTTTAATTCTTTCTGTGGGACATAAAGTTTTTTAAATTCTTGCTTATAAGTTTGATTATTTTATTAAAAATTTGTATGTATGCTATACAATATATGTATGTATGCATAGACAAAGAGTTTTTAATAAACACATTACAATAAAATTGTAATAATTTGAATCAACATTTATAAGACAGAGTAGTGGAGCAGCAGAGACTGTAAAAATGCGAAGGTAGATAGATAGTTCGACGGTGTGCTTGAATTGCACTCAAGTCGGCATCCGTCGGCTCTCGGTTGCTCGGCAATATCGCGGCCACTCAAGGGCCATCGAGGCTTTCTCATTGCCGACGACGGCTTGCCTACGTACGAAGCTACGATGAGATCGGAAGCAAGAGCGAGACTCTTACCCTCTGATTTGCTGTAGCCGGCGCATATGTTCCTTTGGTCCGCTTCTCTTTCGTCTCCTTTCGGCCCTTTTTTCTACTTTTCGATGTTTTTTCATATCACGCTATCACGTCGCACATTGCTCTTCCACTCGCGCTTCACAGAAAAGTTACGAAACGTAATATAACTTTGCGCGGTCCTATAACTGTACGGTAAACTATATGTATATACTCGCGTTCGTGTCTGGAAAAGCGACTTACGATTGTCGCTTATGTTGGATGTAAAGTGTATTAAATTACGTCAGACAGTTTGCTCAAGTGCGTTTTGCAAATAAAAGCCATACAATTTTAGTTGTTGCATCCTAAGGCTCGGTACGATTCATGCTCACGACGCTCTTGGGAATCATTTCATCTTTGTTATTTATCAAATGTTAAACAACACTAAATGCTCTTTACCCAAACAAGGCCGAATGAGCCGTTGTGAGCGTGAATCAAACTACAGTCTGAATAGACAGTATTACAAAAAGAAGCGAATAATTTAGGCAGAAATACCGTTTAAATCCCTACACTCAAATAGCGACAATTAAGAGTAACTCACACAGCACACTTCATCCTTCGGATGAAAGTCCAGAGAACGTCTTTTCAGGACGTTTTCTAGATGTCTATAGGACGTTCTTTGGAGAGCTGTGCAGATATTGATAATTCCATAATCAAACTATAGGGACTCTCGATTTGACGGTTAATATTATTCGATGCAGTATGAGTGTGAGGAGATACTCGTTGAATTTCACACCTCGGCCCACCCCTCGTGGTCGCGATGGCAAGGAGCTGATACAGTGCCCCACGTCGTCCTGTGATGGCATGGGTCATGTCTCAGGGAACTACGCTACCCACAGAAGGCAAGGCAGCATCGACATTTACACCAAGCCTTTGACGTGAACGCTCGATTATGTATATATCGATATGGCGATGCAGCACGCACGCAAGCACGCTACATACACATACATACTTACATACATTTAAATTTGTCCTCTTTGATACCACAATAAAGCTTCATAGATATTTTCATTTTAAAATATGGTAGATAACAATATATCCTGAAACACACATGCATATAATAAATGATATTATGTAAATTGCGAATTATATTTATATGGATGGTTCTTGCATCAATGCATATTGGTGGTCCATGGTGTAGTTGCTTCTTAAGTGTGTTGCAATACGAAACATACATCTAGAAACCCTATTTTTTCCTAGTTAAGCGGTTGAATTGTACACTTGGTCAATATTATGCTGCCATGTATATCCATATATGACGTACATACATGTGAATATTCAGTGGTACTACAGTATATACCTTGCACAAGTATATATATATATATATATATATATATACAATATATAGTTTTTATTTTTATTATACAGTCTATTCGCTCTATCTCTTTTCTCCTCTTTCCTTTTCGTTTTAGTTTCATACTCCACGTCATATTATGCGATATCAAAGGTGTGTAGATGAGCCTCGTAATTGAATGAATTTTTTTTCCTTTTTTTTTCCTCGCTATTTTTACCCGACCCCTACGAAAAGGGATGGCAAAATCAAAGTTCGGCGTTGCGGAAGAATCGGCATTGGACTCGCTTTCGATCGCATTCGTTTTCATACGCATACGTAGTGATTAATTAACCGACTAACCCGTCCGTTGAAAGCCGCTTTCGCCAGCCTCGAGTGGGCAGCTTTGTAGCGAACTGTTGTCGATGACCATGTCATAGCAGAACAATAACGATCAAGAAAATCCACGAAGCGGTCGAAGATATCGCTTCGCGATGCACCTCGGGTGCAAAGTCAAATTGGCAATTGGCGAGTTTCATTGGGGTCAGGTGTGAGTGTGCTCCCTGCTCTCCCTTTCGATGTTCTTAGAGTAAGACCGATGACGGATCAACGCGATTATGAAGCGCGATTGATCTTACGAGCGACACCTCATAAGTGATCCAACTGGAACACGGCGTTGCCATTTGCATGCTACCAAACACGATCCGTTGTCCGCCCGCATCAATCATAATCCGCACGACATTTGAGGGTGTCCCTATGGAGCGTAAGACTCGAACTACGATCATTGGCGTGCACGATTGGCGTGCTCGAGCAAAAGATGCGAGTCTTAGGTCACCCTTTCCCTCAATGTCTTCGTTCGAACTGGACGCAAGGCAAGTCGTCCGTAATGAAGCTAAATCGTAATGAAGCCAGTGCCGATGCGCACTGGATCTCGGTGAGCCAACGTCTCTTGCTCTTCGATGAATACATAATACATTTAGATCTTAGCGGCGATTAATTAATTAATAATAATACAATATTTTAACTTAGGTGACGTGTTGTATCCCCCGTCGTGCGATACGTAGATGATTTCGATCGTTTCAGCGAACGAGATGTTCGGATCGTACTCATCGAGATCTAATTTTCGAGATGTTGATCGTCCTTTAAATAGAACAACCTTAGATCATATGAGTACTCACGACATCGTGGCAACGTCGCGTAAATTGCATGCGATGTGTTGCTGAAGCGATGGTTGGACGTTTCTGAGGTGTGCGTTCGTGTGACGAAAGCCATGAAGATTACCGCGTTGCGCAATTCTATCAGACAACAACCGTATAGCGTGATGATGAATTTTTCAAAGTTTTCTTTACAATTTCTTGTATCTTCCCAGAACACGCAGCGCGCGATCTTCATAGCGTTTTCGCAACGCGTTGAAATAGAAGACAGTCTTCTTTCCTTTGCAGCCTTTCCGGGTGCCCACGAGCTGACCGCTCGCAAATCCAGGCACATTCCCAGGAGCTCAAGTGTCCTACCCCAGGATGCGACGGTTCTGGACATGTCACGGGAAATTACTCGTCACACAGAAGTTTGTCCGGTTGTCCACGGGCCAACAAGCCAAAGAGTAAACCTCGAGATGGTCAAGATTCTGAACCCCTGAGGTCAGTTAGCGCGAATACTATCAATTATGCGCTCTATATTCTCACTGTACACGCGGTTAACACGGGTTGGCAGTGTTTCCTGATCTTCATTTATTCAAGGATGTTAACTTTTAGAGGGTGGCAGTCTATACTTTTTAAATCTTATAAGTAAAATTTATTATAATTTATTATTTAATTTGTCGTTGTCTCAAAATATTTCGGTATACATTTCGCTATAGTGCTATGGTTTTTCTGTCCTTTGAACATTTAATATTGTACAGAATATCCTCAACTAATCGTGTTTACGTTTAATGAGCAATACCATTGCAATCGCGGGCTGTACTAACGAAATTATATTATCGTCTAAATTTTGCGAAAAATTAATTATGCAACATGTTAAGCATAACACATATATATATTGTTTATAGTAACATTTAAGTATAATTTAAGTATAATTGTGCATTGCTACAAATGCAACGTGCTCATTTTATTTGATAAAACAAAACTTTAAAACAAAGTGTATTTGCAAAATTCTTTTTTTTTTTAATTATTCAGTTTGTATTCAATATTGAAAAGTAATAGATATAATAAATTAATACAACGCAAAGGAGGTCCGAAAAGAGTAGGGGAGCTATCGCGAGTTTGTAGGATTTGGTTTCACGACGCGATTACATCTCGCAAGTTCCGCAATTTGAGGGTGCGGCGGTAATCGCGATCTCAATTTGCGTTTTCGTCGCGTTCGCACGTTGCACGTAGCAGCTAACGCAGGTATCTTCTCGACCGCATTGCACGTACCGCGAGGCTGCCGGATGAGACCCGAGAAAGGGGAAATCCCGTTCCCCCTCTGTAACCGCATCCTAACTCCCTTTGCCCGAGTTACACCCCGCGCAAAAGCGAAGACGCTGACTAATAACTGGCGGTTTCCGCTCGTTTCACGCTCGCTCTGTGCGGATGGATTATGTGGTGTTGGTGACGGTGGCGTTGGCATTTTGGACTACAGATGTCCAATCCCAGGTTGTGACGGGTCCGGCCATGCCACCGGCAAATTCTTGTCGCACCGCAGGTAAGGCTCGTATAAGGAACTTTCACGCAACATGGATCTTGCTTTAAGATGATATTGTTTTCTGTTTTTTCTTTTTACTTATGTAGAGTGAAAACAAACCTAGCTATATAATATAATCGTATAGAATAACTCCTTGCATAAAAATGCGCAAAATAAATCTTTCCCGAGGCTTTATTTTCAAGAAAATCGAGTTTAATCTTCAGATATTAACATAAAAAATTATTGCAGCTTTTGAAAAAATAATAAAGTTCATAGAGTTTTACCAACAGTACTGTTTTAAGAATACTCTTTTCGAAGTCGGAAGATAACGTACTCTTATTTTCCACTTATTCTACTCTTGTTTGGAAAATGAAACAAAATTTTTAAATATATTAATCAATATATAAATTTATTATTTTACGAAAAAGAGTTATGATTGGCTTGTATTAGGATTAGCGCTTGCTTTGGGCAGTATGTTACATATATGTGAGCGTGCGTGCGTGCGTGTGCGTGTGTATGTAGTTTATCATATATAGGTTTTATTAGAGATTTGGTTATACGTACCTATACATATATATATATATGTATTTGTTGAAAAATCTTACAAGTTATAAGGTATGTTCAATACATGAATCAATTTTATTTTTTCAATTTTTTCAATGTAACATTAAAATATCTGTCATTAAGTAAAATGTAAATAAATATATTTATATGTAATTTTATAAAGATTGAATAGAGGTGTGTGTTTTTTGTCAATAAAAATTATATTTTTATTGACAATTTAGGAATGCCATTTTATCGAACACCGGCATTTAAAACAGACAACAGGAAATTCCTTCTTGTTTATTGTTTTTTTTTTAAATGTATTTTTTGCTAATTACAATGTACTCTTTTCGGACGACCGAGAGTTGGTGCCTAGTAGGAAGACATTCAACATAGTTCATGAATTAATAATTTGACGAGCACAATTTTGCTTATGACTGTCGGAAATTTTCCAGCAATTTTTCTCTTAATAAAATTAATAAAATTAAATTATTTGTCACATATTTTTTAATCTCTACTAAACATGATAACGTTTATAGTGTCTCATATACTATATTTTGAAAGCCTTCATTAAGCGCACGTGTACTCTCTTAATTCTTTGGAATGGAATATCAGTCTAAAGAGTGAAAATTAAACCAGAGTCTTAAAAAAGAGTGGGTCAATTTTTAATTTTTAAGAGTGAGATTTTACTCTTTAGAGTGACAATTCACTCTAAAAGTTTAGAAAGTACTTAATATGATTTTTAAATTTGATTTTCTCGAAAACAAAGCCTCGTACAAAAAAGTTGATTGTATATACTTTTAATTAATTTTTGTATAAAGAATCATTCTCTGTCAGATTGTATCGTAGGTTTGTTTCCATCCTGTAATTATCTTATGTGACAAATTGCGACGATTAAATGCTTTCAGTAATATTAGTTTTCATACAGATTGCAAAAATTAACTCAAAGTTCTAAATACTTGTAATTTCTTAAAAATATTATTGATATTGTTCGATTTGCAGCAATTTCTGTAATTTGATAATAAGTTAGGTTAATAAATTAAAGTAACTTGGGTATAAAATATTATTTTAATTTACTGCGGTTTTACATTACTGTTTATTTATTAAATGAAGATTGAGTTGATAATCTATTTTAATGACGTCTGCGATTATAGTTTTTGAAATCGATGACTGCTTTTTTTATCCGTAATTTATATATGTCTCCTATATTATGTATCTTTATTTTCTTATTACAGTGCATCTGGATGTCCAATTGCAAACAGGAATAAGATGCGAGTGTTGGAGTCTGGTGGTACAGTCGAGCAGCACAAGGCGGCCGTGGCTGCCGCGACAGCCATGAAGTTCGAGGGTGTCAATTGCCCCACACCTGGATGCGATGGACTCGGTCACATAAACGGCTCCTTCCACAGCCACAGGTCTTTATCGGGCTGCCCGATAGCCAGTCACGCTGTGAAGAAACCGAAACCGGAGGACAATATGAGCATGTACAGCAGAGGAATCACCGGTGAGGATCGAGTTGCCTCTGATGTCGCCTCCGGCTGTCAATACTTAACGATCGAAGAATAATATTGTCAGAGTTACGCTATGCGTGAGACCAATCATTACGAAGAAGAATAACGATCGAATTTTGTCCAAAGAGTACTCCTCGCGAAAGTTTTCTTCGCGCGCAACTGACAAAATTGAAACCGCGAGATGCGTTTTTCTATCAAAACGCGCGGTAGAAAGAGAGAAAGATAGATAGAAAAAGAGATAGAGAGAGAGAGAGAGAGAGAGAGAGAGAGAGAGAGAGGAGAAATGCTACGGAGTAGATAAGACAGTTTAAGTTCACTCTCTGTTCTTTTCTATGCTTGCGCATCGCGCTCGTTCGGGATTTATCATTATTTATTTCTTTTACTTCAGAATTCATATTATGTATATGAAAAAAAAATTCATAAATTGATCGACACCTAGACGAGTGCGATGCTAAAACATACGGAATTATGTATCTTCCTTTGTAAACTTGTGCATATCAAACCTTGTACTTAATCCCTTAATGCTATGCCATACTCTGCTCTTCACGCAATGATGTGCTGTCATACCAATAAGAATAATCTCCTTCCCTATCCTTCCATTTATCTCTTGATCATCAAAGAATTCGTTTTCTTTTAGTTCTCCTTTTTAAATATTTCTTTTCCCGTTTCGATCCCTTTCTTTTTCTCAGTAATAAATGTTCCAGGTTTGCGAGCAAATATCGCAATTGATTAGATACGAAAGGATACCACAAATAGCTTATAAAAGAGAAAAAAAATGAAGAAACAGAAGCAACAGAATTGAATATGATGGCGTTAATTTACATCTCATTTTTTTTCCTCCCTTTCGATTCGGTCCCGCGCAGGAACCTCTTCCTTCGTTATGTACAAGACAGAAATGTAAAATCGAAAAAAAAAAAAAAAAAAAAAA